GATAGTTCCATCCTTCATTTATTCAATTATCTTTACATACAACACAAAATAATGTAGCTATGAGAAGAAATGAATCGTGTGATGTCTTTCAGAAACCTCCAGTAAAAGAACTATACCATTTATCTAGTGCAGAACGTGAATTGTTTTCAGAGAACAATCCCGAATGTCTTGTTGATTATTGTAGCGATCAAATTTTCTTTTTATTTTTGTTCTCTTTGGTAAGAAATTCATTTCGAAATGGACCAATGGATCCCACAAGTAACAACAGATAAAAGAACAATACAAGCTTAGTTTTTTTTCTATATAGATATTTTTTTCCTATATTATCAAGTATTTAGAGTTTACTGCGAGTTTGGATCATTTTTCTTAAATCTCTTCTACGATTTCTGCCCTTCATCAAATTATATAAATTGTGAGTGCTATAGAAGAATTAAAGATCATCCAGAAGATAACATAAAGAATTACAGAAAGAAAAAGTCAAGAAGCGATCACTTTAAAAAATTTAATTATGAATTAAAAATGATTTAAAATTTTAATAAAAATATAAAAATAAAATTTGAATCAAATATTAAATATTTTGAAAAATTCAACTTTAAGCTTTCTAAAATTGAATTTTTAATAAATACAGAAAAGTTGTTTCTTAAAGAAAAAAAATTANTATTAAATAGAAAATTATAAAATTTTTTTTAAAAAAAAGAAAAGAAATATTCTCTCAAGTAATCAAAAACTGAAAATAACATTTTGAAAGAAAAATAATTTGAAATTCACGAAAAATCTATAAGTGAGCAAGTAAATGGAGAAATAGTTTTAAAGAAAGTTCAACAAACGTTAATCGAATAAAACAATCATTAAGAAAAATAACATTTTTTTTTATTGCCGCAGTATTAAAAAATCTAATTTAAAACTTAATAATTAAAACGTTGATTGCTTAAAAATTAAAATAAAAAAAATATTTAAAAAAATAATAATAATTCACGAAAGAATTAAAGTATATAAAATTTCAAAAAAGTTAAAAATTTAGGAATAAATTTCATTTAATTTTTAAACAATTTTTATTCGTTTGTTTTTCGATAAATAAAAAAAAAATAAAACCGTATGTTTATTGTTATCAATTAAGTCATTTTAAGTATTTAGATTTAATTTTTCTAAAGGGTATACTTAAAATAATTATCACAAAGTTTAATATATAAATACGTTTTTTTTTTTTTTTTCGTTTTTAATCTTAAAGGACAGGATTTCTAAACGAATTCCCTAGAACACATTTACGAAAAACTTTCTCTTGGGATTACTCTTTTCAACAAAATGGCTATAGCAGTTATCCAGGTGAAATTGTCTTAGTGGACAACAATGTCCTCAAGGTAATGAAATGTTTGTCATTTTATTGTAATTGTTGTCATTCCATTTTAGATACTGGATATCTTTAAAAGAGCAATGAAAAAAAAAAAAACTGTTTCGAAAGTTCAAGTTTAGAATCTTCTTTGTTCGAAGACACAAATGACATTCTCTTAGAGGTCCATTTTTTAAATAAATGATTATGTTTTGTATTATTTTCAGCAGTATTTTTTGTTATTAATTCTTTCTATATATATATTAATTAATACTCTATGAAGTAAAATATAAAATACAGTATTATAATAGAAAAACAGTTTGAAACTTCAAAAAATCTGTACGAAACTAGAAATCCTCAAAGAATTTTGTTGTAAAATTCTTCTAAATATGACCTGTAAGTTATGAAGATTCAGTCTCAATTTTAATTTTTTATTCTAAGATATAATATAATATTTAAAGCTCTTTATAAATTTTGATAGAAAAAACACATATGTTTTAGAAGAAAATATATAAATTTTTAATTAAATTTTCTCAATATTTAAACTTAATTTATAATTTGGGTGTTAGAAAAGGTCAAGTTTGTTTACAGTGTTCTACTTTCTGTTATATTTGCTCAAATTTTATTGCAAAATTCTGCTATATAAAATTTATCGTCCGTTTTTTACAGCTAGAATTAATTGTAAATGAGTTTTAGTAAAAAGATCAATAGAGTGGTTTGATAAAGTAAGTATATTATGGTATTTATTAAGAAATATTGAAAGAATAATTAGCCACTCCATTCAAATTCATGAATTTAAAGTGATATGATATTGATAGAGTTCAGAAGATACTAATTAATACAATAGATAGATGAAGAGCATTAGATAAATTTGTGCATCTCATAAAAATCTCCAGTTAAGTAAACGTTAAAGAATCAATAAAGATTCACGCATGCATGATAATGATACATACCATTCATGTCCAATGTTACTGTGCCAATAGTAGGGACGGTGAGATTGGTATTCGATGCTTGACAAGCCAATCCAGTCATTAAATCTGATCTCTCCAGTTTTGGCAAGTGAAGCTCGTTTCTGACGATTCCATTTTCCATCGAAGAAAAACTGTCATCAAGTAAAGAAGAATCTTGCCACCAAGTCACAGATGGTGATGGGTCACCTGCAATAAACTACCTGATTTAATGACACTTTTCTATCTTTTGACAACTGTAAAAGTAAACTATCAATCAACCGGAAATTAATTTTCGAACGAAAGAAGTTCTTATTAATATCTCGAAAAAGTTTTTTTTTTTTTAAGTATATGAATTATTTATATATTCCATTAAAGAAAACCCCGAAATATTATAAGCTTCTAGTTGAATTAGATTAAGATAAGATGTTTTTGTGGTTAGTAGAAGTAAAGATGATCTTCTTTTCCACTCTGCTACCACTAAGAAAGCCAGGGGTTAAGTAAGGTTATGTTGGATTGAGGTGGATCAAGTTCTACTATTTAGGTTAAAATTAGAGTCAAGTAAAGTTATTTTATTCAATTAAATAATAAGATAAAACTATTTAACTTCTAAACTAATTATTGTTAACGAATAATTTTCATAATAAACAATGTAATTGTTTTTGCAATCGTATAAGAAATGCAAGAACTAATTAAACCGATAGAAAATCTTAAAAGTTTTAAGAATAAATCATTTTATAATACATTTATAAATATAAAACTTAAAAAACACTTAGAGAACTTTTAAAAAAAGTTTAAGTAATTGAGATAGAAATTATTAAACAACCGAAACTTTTCCTGAGAAGAGGAAAAAGATGTTTGTAGAATCTTCTCTGATAACATTAAAGAAAGAAAGTTCTATCCAAGAAATGTTGTTTGTGGATGAAAGGATTTTCTGTAAGACATCTGTTAAAGATATACACTGGCTTCCATAACTGTGGTTATTGTATCGTTTGTATTTTATTGAATTTTATTTATCTTATTATATTAAATATAAAATGAGATGGAATGTTGTATGTTTTGTAAAATAAGTAAAAGTAAAACTAAAAAAAGTAAAAATCGATAAATGTGTGGCACGTAATCAGAATACGAGAACTGAATAAATAAAGACAAGAAGCTAATATAATTTGAATAAATCAAATAAATTACATTCTTCAAATCTTTCAAGATTGCTGAAAGAAGAATTTTTCAACGTTAAAATAAATTAAAATATATATACATAATTTTATTTTACGAAACGATAATTAAAAGTGAAATAAAACGAAAAATATTATGGAGAATTTATCTTGGAGTACTACAAAAGTACATTGTAAATATTGAAAGTTTACGTGATTCCAATGCATAAATTCTTTAAAGTGTCATTATTTTATGATGTGTTTAAACTAGATTGTTAGCTTAAATACATCATAAAAATAGAATAAATAATTAAAACTAGTCGAGAAGTAATAAAGGAATGTGGAAAAATTCGAGTAGATAATAATCGCTTTTGATTATCATAGAAAAATCCTAGACAATTCGAGAAAATGTGAATTTTTAACAGATGAAATTTTTATTGAGTCGTTCGTGTTTGGATACGAATTGCATAAAGTTAATTGAAAATAAAAGTTTTATTATTAATGACCGTGTATATATATATCTATGTATATAAATATTGCGAGTAATAAGCGGATAGAAAATAAAACCACTTTTGGCAATACGTCATTAAAAATTACAACATATAATTTTGTGTTTTACATTTTAAGAGATAATAACCAATCTCGGTTCATAACTAGTTTAGCCCGAGGAAATACGTCGTTGCTTCATAATTGACGATGTAAATTCTATAACCTTACTTTGGGATTTATAAAAGTAAAACGAGTGGAATACAGAAGTCCATTAAGAACGACTCGCGAGAGTTCTAACTTAGATCAAGAAGAAGAAGAATACTTTCGCTCTCTCTCTCTCTCGTCCCTCTCTCTTTCTATTGGTGTTCATCAATCGATAAGAGCTCATTACAGATGTACTGTTTAAACAATGCCTTTGGCATCGACGACAACAGTTGTTTTATGTTTTGGCTGAAGCGTTTATCGTCATCTTAATAAATCCATTGGGAACAATGGCCGAAGGGTCGAACGTCGTTAGAAACGTAGCGTGAAAATTAACGTGTCCGACAGACTGGTGATAACCGAGAGTGTGAAATGTTCCATCTTTCGATTTATCGCTTAAGGGAAAAAAATATCAAGAAGATATTGCCTTTCATAAGCTGTAGTTACCTTCTTGAGTCGTTTGCTATCTTCCTGGATTAAGGATAGGTTATTTTTAAGAATGATTGGAAAATTCACTAAAATAACAAGATCATTTTCGTGAATATCTCACACGCAAATTGGTCCATCATCAGCAATGCAAATTGTCCGACACTTCCCCTCCCCCTTTCTTACTGTCAAGTTTGAATTTTTTAATAAGAAATTTCCTTTTTTTTAAATTTTATCTTCATTGATGAGATAATTTTATATTCTCAACTTGATAAATTTAAATAAATTATACTAACCTAATATTTTAGTTACATATTTAAACATAAGTTTTACACGCGTGATTTTATTTTANAGATGAAGAGCATTAGATAAATTTGTGCATCTCATAAAAATCTCCAGTTAAGTAAACGTTAAAGAATCAATAAAGATTCACGCATGCATGATAATGATACATACCATTCATGTCCAATGTTACTGTGCCAATAATAGGGACGGTGAGATTGGTATTCGATGCTTGACAAGCCAATCCAGTCATTAAATCTGATCTCTCCAGTTTTGGCAAGTGAAGCTCGTTTCTGACGATTCCATTTTCCATCGAAGAAAAACTGTCATCAAGTAAAGAAGAATCTTGCCACCAAGTCACAGATGGTGATGGGTCACCTGCAATAAACTACCTGATTTAATGACACTTTTCTATCTTTTGACAACTGTAAAAGTAAACTATCAATCAACCGGAAATTAATTTTCGAACGAAAGAAGTTCTTATTAATATCTCGAAAAATTTTTTTTTTTCTAAGTATGAAGAATGTATTTACAGATAATAAAATAGTTTTGAATGTTAGAATGTGAATAAAAGTGATTCTTTTAATAAAAAAAACGAAAAGTAATTTTAGAATGTATTTTTATATATTTTTTGAAAACTTTAAAGAGAATTTTAAGTATATTTTAAAATAAATTAATGCTCTAAGTTAAATATAATAATGTGCCAAGTATTTAAATAATTTATTAAAATTTTTAATCAATTTTTTAATAATAGTTTTAACATAAAATTGTACATAAATCTTAAAGTTAATTAAAAATATCAGATAAATGAATATAATATAATATATTTTATATATAATTTTTCTTTGAATTCTGCATATTTAGTTAGTAGATGCTACCGCTACAGTATTAACCTCCCTCTCCTCTCGCTAAATACAATGCTCCTACACAAAACAGTTCTCTATATTTCATCATTTAAAATTAAATAAACCATATAAATCTTTAGCTAATAGGATAGATAAGGCATTTAAAATTTCATCCTATACTGTGGATCAATCAGGGCGAGGCATTCCCAGAAATTTTTGAGGACATATGTCAAGTCCCGTCTCTCACCACTCATATTCTCTGTTGTGGGGCTGGTTAAACACATGATGGGCCTGAAAAGAGGCCTTCTTAGCGCTCACAGGGCGGAAAGATAGGATATATATGTATAGGTTTTTTACGTCGTTAGAATACGACAAACAAATAATAAATGCTAAAAAAATTCTATAAAAAAGAATTATATAAAGCTTATGTGTATAATTTTTGAAATTTATATGTGGTTTCTCTTAATCTGATTGGCTCACCGAAGACACGATCAACCAATCAGATTAACAAAACCGCACATATGTTCGGGCTAATCTTGATTTCTATGTTGGAACTAATGTTGATAGAATCATTATTTTCGATTTCTTTGCCACATTCGTTGCTTAACTATTAAAAAAAACAAATACTACTTTACAAAATAGAAAAATTAATTAAAAATTTAATAATAAAAAATAATTCAAGAAGATTTTTACTTTAATTTAATGAAAGAATTATAAACTTTTCTAAACTAACTTCATTATATTTATTGCTAAAATCGAATTTTTATTTGAAGAAAGCAATCGGAAATAAAAAAAAATCAATATTTTAAATAATTTTTTTATGAATTTCGTTTCTTAAACTGTTTAATCAAATTCGCGTTTAACAAAAAGATTCAAGAATTTAAAAATAAAAAACAATGTATAATTATAAAAAAATCTATCGATTAATTTAAGAAAAAAATAATATATACATATATATTTTTTATGTATATAAGTATTATAAAAGTTTAAAAAATGCAAGGATGAAAGATTAAAGTTTTATTCAAGATGAAAAATAGATTTTGGATGTAAAAGTGATCGTTACTAATGAAAGTCCGTTTATCGGTGTTGAAACAACATATCGAAATTTTTGCTATCTTTTATAAAGGAATTTTCACCTAGATGTTATTATTGGAAACAGTTATAGACGAAAGAAAGTATAAAAGCTATATCTTGAGAAGCGTATGAACGAAAGAAAACATTTCTCTTATAAGAGATTGCGAAGTAGAAGTTGGAGTGACAACTTCGCATCTGTCAGCTTACCCGACGGGGTTTATAAGAAGCTGGCTGTGTAATCAGGTCTCCGAAAACTTTAACTAAGATGTTAGGAACACTGACATATTGCATGACAGTCGTGTCAAAAAAGAACCGGAAATCTGACAAGAGAGAATCGGAAATTATTTTTATGACTTTTTATTCTGATGCAGTGCCGGAATGTAAAGAAAGAACGTAACAAATAACTAAATATATCGATAAAAAATATATTTAGCCTATATATAAAAAAAAAACAGTAGACAAAATACTAATATCGGCATAAAGAAATTGATAAATTTAATAGGAAATGTCTTTGTAAGACACTTAAACGATCATAATGAAGTTTTACGTATAGAAATTAGTTTAAAAATTAAAATTGAATTTTTATTTCTTTCCTTATAAATAAGAGAATATTTTATATGCATTTTTCTTAATTCTTACCTCCGCTGGCTTCACAGATGAGGTTAAGTGAAGAGCCTTCGTCGTATGGACCGATAACTCCTTCCAGTTTGTTGCCTTCTTCATTCCTTATGATGGTCTCACGTGGTGGAACTAATAACGGTGTAAAGAGAGTTGGCCAAAAGCAGCATTGAACTAACCACTTAGAGAATATATATTTTTTTCCTTATTTATATGTCTTTGATAAGATAAAGTAGAATGGCTATTTGTTAATCGACAGGACAATTTAATTTAAGGTCTTACTGAAAGCGTTATCCATTCTGATGGATNAAAAATGCAAGGATGAAAGATTAAAGTTTTATTCAAGATGAAAAATAGATTTTGGATGTAAAAGTGATCGTTACTAATGAAAGTCCGTTTATCGGTGTTGAAACAACATATCGAAATTTTTGCTATCTTTTATAAAGGAATTTTCACCTAGATGTTATTATTGGAAACAGTTATAGACGAAAGAAAGTATAAAAGCTATATCTTGAGAAGCGTATGAACGAAAGAAAACATTTCTCTTATAAGAGATTGCGAAGTAGAAGTTGGAGTGACAACTTCGCATCTGTCAGCTTACCCGACGGGGTTTATAAGAAGCTGGCTGTGTAATCAGGTCTCCGAAAACTTTAACTAAGATGTTAGGAACACTGACATATTGCATGACAGTCGTGTCAAAAAAGAACCGGAAATCTGACAAGAGAGAATCGGAAATTATTTTTATGACTTTTTATTCTGATGCAGTGCCGGAATGTAAAGAAAGAACGTAACAAATAACTAAATATATCGATAAAAAATATATTTAGCCTATATATAAAAAAAAACAGTAGACAAAATACTAATATCGGCATAAAGAAATTGATAAATTTAATAGGAAATGTCTTTGTAAGACACTTAAACGATCATAATGAAGTTTTACGTATAGAAATTAGTTTAAAAATTAAAATTGAATTTTTATTTCTTTCCTTATAAATAAGAGAATATTTTATATGCATTTTTCTTAATTCTTACCTCCGCTGGCTTCACAGATGAGGTTAAGTGAAGAGCCTTCGTCGTATGGACCGATAACTCCTTCCAGTTTGTTGCCTTCTTCATTCCTTATGATGGTCTCACGTGGTGGAACTAATAACGGTGTAAAGAGAGTTGGCCAAAAGCAGCATTGAACTAACCACTTAGAGAATATATATTTTTTTCCTTATTTATATGTCTTTGATAAGATAAAGTAGAATGGCTATTTGTTAATCGACAGGACAATTTAATTTAAGGTCTTACTGAAAGCGTTATCCATTCTGATGGATTAGAAGAGCACTTTTGAGAAATTATTTTTGTAGATAAAACAAGACCAATGATGTTGATGCCAAGTGCTATTTTTAATCTCTTTTAACACAAAGAGTTCTTCTGAATGATAATGATTGTATCGAACAATACGGCAAAGTAGATTCCGTCATGAATTTTTATCAAGAAAATGCAACTTGACATCTTTTACAAAATGCAAACGATTTATAAAAATCAAAATTTCATCAGTCGGGGGAAAAAAACGAAATTAAGAAATATTTCTTGATTTCTTTCAAAGATTTGTAAGAACATTTAAAAAATTTTTTTTCTTTAAATTTTAATTAACAAAAATAATTTCTCTATTTTTCATAAATATACACTTGAATGTAAATAAAGTTTTATTAATTACTAACCTGTAAAACAGTAAAAATATAATGAAGTAAGCACGAATTTACTCATCCCACGAAAAATTATTAAATTTTTACAAATTTTTTTTATGTATAATTTATAATGAAATTAAATTTTAATATATTTTTTTTTATAAAAAATTTATAAAAAAGTTTTTAATTATATA